CCCACCCCCCCCCCCCCAAAAAAAAAACCAAAAAAAACAAACAAACAACAACAACAACACAAAAAACAACAAACAACAAACAAACAACAAACAAACAAACAAAAACAAAACCAACCCAGAGTAGCAAAGTTTCTTTCCAAAGAACACAAAGTCAAACTAGCCTGGACACGGTTCGAGCCACAACCTTAACGATCGTGAGTCCAGCAGTCAAACCACAGGACCATCCTATCCACTCCTTGAGCTAAAAAGTGCGAAAATTATAATTACACGTAGCTACTTAAAAGTGACTGAACGGTTGGTTGGCGTCCGGGTATTCTGGTGCAGGCGTGTCCCTTTTTAATGTTTCCTATCAATAGCAGTGGCGGTGGGTAGTGAAGGGCTTATGGGCTTGAGCCCCTCACCCCCACCCCTCCGCACCCCAACTCTATCCCTTAGTTAATGAAAGTTTCTTAAATAACGAAATAAGCAGTTGAAACCGTCATGATCGCACGCAATGAACACAGTTATTAGCTTGGCGGCTTGCCCGTTTATCCCTTGGAGGAACTATATAGTTACTCCAAGGTTTATCCAATCATTGTTGTCACCGCTTACAACTATAGTAACCTAACAGTCAATCAAATGTCGTTAGGGCTCAGAAAGAATAAGCCGGTTCTCACGCCAGTCTTTAATGAAACTCTTCTTGTAAAAAGGTAGAAGACTTTTACAAAATTACACTGCACAGAGGGCTCACGCTCTCCCAGCCCAGACAATGGGGTGAAAGTTTACGACACACTTTCCCCCAGTGACACAGATACCTATGCGCCCATAGGGCCTTTGTTAGGCGCGTTCTATTTTCCGCAATAACATGACCCAATCCACCTCATAGACGGTATGTGTTTGGAGTGCTGTGTGTTTGTGTCGCTGAGATTTAACAGTTATTAATTACATAAACCCACTTTTGAGGTAACTTTTTCTTCAGATAAAAACTAATTAGAGAAATTTGGAGGTGAAACGGTTTCGTTACCACCATACAGAAGAGCTTAACTTTAACTAAGAACAAAGAGATGGAAGACAAAGGTGACTCTTCTCGTTTTAATGGTTCTCAAAATGCCGTGGCTCGCAGTGAGTATAGCAAAATCATCGCTGTTTTCTTCTTATTGCTTGCTTTTTGGTGGTAAAGAAGTGGAAGAAACCTAAGCCCCACCCAAATTTTGGTCCACCCACCGCCACTGACCAATAGTATCAAATATATCGCCCTTATCTCTCCTTCTGTTCATTGTAAACAACTCCCTAGTATCGCCAGATAATCTTACAGTGCCCCCACGGGGCTCTCGTTGCCTAGAGGTTAAGGTGTTCGCCTCTCATTCAATAGGTCCTGGGTTCGAATCCGGAAGCGACGGAAATTTTTCTTCTCTAAAATGGTCTCCTTTCACCTCCTTTTCTGCTCTCCAGCAATGTTCTGTCGTCTGTTTTCGACTCTGCTTTCTGCACCCACCCCTTCACCTCCTTTGCCCCCTCCTCTGGATTCCTGACTCTTTTTGCAGCCTTTCTACTGTTACTCCTTGGCTCCTTCTTACTGCTGTCTTTCATGCAGCCACACCCCTGATCTTAGGGTAGGAAAGGTCAACACATAGCCTGCTCAGACAAGGGCGAAAAATCTCGGAGGTTTTTGTGTGCCAGTTGTGCATGATAAAGGCTCCTATTTTTTTATTTGGTGATCCAAAATCGATAAGAGTATGTTTCCGCTGCCATCCAGGCAAAATTCAAAAGTTTACTACCTACCAAACTAAAAATGTTTAATGTGTTTCACGCGCTCATATGACCTCATGCAGTTGCGAGCGGTGTAAAACACTCTCTCTCTCTCTCTCTCTCTCTCTCTCTCTCTCTCTCTCTCTCTCTCTCACACACACACACACACACACACACAATTGGCGCCTCTCTGTTACTGTAAACTCTCTCATGGTATAACCTTCAATCTTTGCTGTTTAAATGTGACCTATAAGATTTGCTTTGCAGGGACCATAAAACTCCTACTGGAGCTGAAATAAAAGAATAATATGTATGCCGGGAAATATTACAATGTGCTGTTAATGCTATGAAAACTGAGTGCTATTTCCTGAGAATAGCACCCCTCATTTTCTTGTTTTGTAATCATCAGCAAGTTTGGTTTTTTTTCAAAGACATGACGTCACCAGAACGTGTGATGGGATGACTCCACACTTAGGTAGTTAATGCAGGCACTTCAAGAAAGACAGACAGACAGACAGACAGACAGACAGACAGACAGACAGACAGACAGACAGACTACCAAAATAAGCACAACTTGTTTAGATCTGTACTGAATGCTTACTTCGTGCTTGATTATAAACCTTCAACTGCAAGTTTACTTTTTAACAAAAGATGAGGATAAAAAAAACTATTTTGCAACACTTGACTAGCATTATATTGTGGGGAGTTCACGCAAGTAAAAGCTATTAATTGTCACTGTAAATTAAAATATTATGTGCGAAATTGGATAAACACGTAAGTTGTGGGCTCTTATTTCTCCGGTCTATTACAAAGCTAACTGCTGAAACTGGTAGATCTATGCTCTTCACACTTCACACGTCACACTTGTTTGATCGATGCGGCTCACTAGATCTCTCTATGCTACTGTACTACATTCTGCACCGTCTAATTGGAGCACGAAATGAATATTTGGTCTATTTATCCTCATGGAAATGTTTATTTGCTGATCAAAATATTACTGTGCAATATTACTGTGCAATGTTTGGAGGAGTTTATGGTGTGTGCTGATGTTTGATGATTCAATCAATAATAATTGTTCCAAGTAGGCCTAGATCTAGATCTAGATCTAGATCTAGACGTCTAGATTCTAAATACCGGGACACTTGGGCTTGGGACAGTTCAGTTTGTGATAGATCTAGATCTAGATCTAGTCTAGAATCTAGATCTAGAGATCTAGATATGATAAATATTCTAGATCTAGATCTAGTGTGTTAAAACCTGGAAAAAATTGATGAAGGACTCAGGCTCAACTTGCCATCATAGATCTGGATCTAATTTTACTTTCAATTTGGTGCAGTGTAGGGTCACTAAGTTTAGTGTAAGACCCTTAGCTAAACTTTTACAGGTGACAGTGCCAAACTAGATCTAATCAGGCCTAGAATCCTCGGTCTAGATATAGTGAGAGTCTAGGCTAGATCTAGGTAGGACTTAAATTTAAATTGTTGTAGATCTACAAGCTTGTGGAATTTGTGAATAACATCCTTAAACTCTGAATTGACCAATGGTCGTTGATTCAGTAGGCGGCAGTTTTGCAAAAGAAAGTAGGCCTAAAGTTGTTTTCTTTTGGACCTTATTCACTGTTGAGAGCTAGATCTAGATCTAGATCTAGAGTCTAGACTAGCTGTCTTCAAATTCAAAGGTCGTGTCCACATTGTAATTAAAAATGGCTGACATTTCCAACTCTGAAAAACAAATGATGAAAGTCAATTTCGAGGAAGACACTGTGAATAGTCTTTTCTCTGGAGAAGGCATGAATCTGAGCATTGATGGCATCGTATTTCAAGGTGCACCAAGTAATTCTAGTTCTAGTTCTCATGCTCTAAGGGAAGATGTGAAATGTGATATTACAAGTGGAGAAAATTACTCTGAAGATAGGAGCAGTTCTCTGTTCTTGTTTGACCTCAAAGAACAAAAACCTGTTGTAAAAGTAAAAGACGTCCATCTTCCATTGATAAAAGAAGAGTCTGGTTTTGAATGGCCGTATGATGTCAATGTCGAGGGAAAAAACGAACCAGACATTGAAAACAGAAATATGGCAGTAAAAGATGAGCCTATTTATTTGTTTGGGGTGGAGGAAGAGATAAAACCTGTCATAGCCATGAAACCAGAGTGCTTCACAGATATTGGTATGGTAAAAACTGAACCACATTTTGAATATTTTCCTGACATTGATGATGAAGTGAAACCAAAAGTGGAGACTTTTGGGAAAGAGGAAGTGCCTGAATGGGAGGGTCCAGACTTTGGAGAGATGGGAAAGACAGAAGGACAAGTGGGAGATGTGGAGGAGCCCATGTTCGTTGAGGATCACATGAGTCAGGCTGGAGGACTACAGCAGCAAATCTCCACTGAAAGGGGTTTGTCTATGGCGCAGAGTTCCAACCCAGACACAGATGTTGTTGCATCCACTCACCAAACTTCAACTTTCTCTGCTGATCCAATTCTTCTGGAATGTAATGTCTCAAATTCTGGCTTTAGGGTCAAGAATAAAGATTCAGGTTTCAACTTTTCTTGTGCTGTGTCTATTTCTGGTTCTGTAAATTTTTCTGAGTCTCCTTCTAGTACCACACAGCCAAAAGTGTACAAAGAAACAGATTCTGGTCATTCAGATAATCCCAGGCTTACAGTTAGGGAAAATACTTACTCAGAAGAAACACCTCTCCAGTGTAAAGTTTGTGGTGAACAGTTTACACAAAGTGATAACCTACTGAGACATAAAGAAATACACACTGGAAAAAAGCTGTACAAGTGTGAAGTTTGTGGTGCAACATTTGCAAAGAGTGACAGCCTTCAGAGACATAAAAGAACACACATGGGAGAAAAATCTGACAGTGAAGTTTGTGGTGCGACATTTGTACAGACGGGTGCCATGCGGAGACATAGAAAAATACACACTGGAGAAAAGTCTTACGAGTGTGAAGTTTGTGGTGTTATGTTTACTCGATCCAGTGTCTTAAAGAGTCACCAAAGAGCACACAGAGGAGAAAAACCTTACGAGAGTGAAGTTTGTGGTGAAAAATTTACGAAAAGTGGAACCCTACTGGGACATAAGGCACCCCCAGGTAAAAAGGTTTACAAGTGTGAAGTTTGTGGTGCTACTTTTGCACAAATGGGTGTTCTGCAGAGACACATGAAAGCTCACGTAAGAGGAAAGCCCTACAAGTGTGAAGTTTGTGGGGTAATGTTTACAAAAGCGAGTGTCTTGAAGAGTCACCAAAGAAGACACACAAGGGAAAAGCAGTGTGAAGTTGGTGAAAAGTTTACAAAAAGAGGTAATCTACTGAAACATAAAAGAACATATACAGAAGAAAAACCTTACTTGTGTGAAGTTTGTGGTGAGAGGTTTACAAAAAGTGATAGCCTACTGAGACATAAATTAACACACAGTGGAGAAAAACCTCAATGTGAAAATTGTGGTGCGACATTTGCTGAGATTGACAGCCTTCACAGACACTTGAAAAAAGCACACACCAATGAAAAACCTCACAAATGTGAACTTTGTGGTGCAACATTTGCAGAGAGTGACAATCTTCACAGACACAAAAGAACACACTTGGAAAAAAAATCTTACAAATGCGAATTTTGTGGTGCGACATTTGAACAGATGGGTGTCCTGCAGAGACACATGAAAGTACACGTCAGAGGAAGGCGCTTCAAGTGTGAAGTTTGTGGCGCAATGTTTACACTAGCCTGTGTTTTGAAGAGTCACCGAAGAGCACACACAGGAGAAAGACCTTACGAGTGTGAAGTTTGTGGTGAAAAGTTTACCCAACCCAGTGTCCTGAAGAGTCACCAAAGATTACACACGGGAGAAAAGCCTTACAAGTGTGAAGTTTGTGGTAAAAGGTTTACACACAGTTCTGGCCTGCTAATACATAAGACAACACACACGGAAGAAAAACCTTGGAAGTGTGAAGTTTGTGATAAAAGGTTTGTAACACGTCGTTGCCTACAGGTTCATAAAAGGACACACACAAAAGAAAAACCTTACAAGTGTGAAGTTTGTGGTGGAGCATTTTCACATCTCTCGACTTTGAAGAGTCACAAAAAAATTCACACAGGAGAAAAACCCTACAATTGTGAAATTTGTAGAAAAGCATTTAGGGAAAGTAGCTGCCTACAGAAACATAAAAGAAGAGTACACACAGGAGAAAGGGGTTACAAGTGTGAAGCTTGTGGCAAAATGTTTTTATTTGCCAGTGACTTGAAGAGTCACGTACGAACACACACAGGAGAAAAGCCTTACAATTGTGAAGTTTGTGGTAAAAGGTTTGCACATAGTAGTGGCCTTTCAGTACATAAAAGAATACACACAGGAGAAAAACCTTTCAAGTGCGAAATTTGTGGTAAAACGTTTAGAGGAGGTGGAAGTCTAGTAAGACATAAAATAACACACACAGGAGAAAAACCATACCAGTGTGAAATTTGTGGCAAAAGATTTACAAGAGCTTCTCACCGAGTAGAACATATGACGAGAAAACACTGGAGAAAAACCTTGCAAGTGTGAAGTTTGTGGTGAAAGGATTTTTCACAAAGTGGTAACATACTTGGTGGTAAAAAACTACCCAAGACCTGACAAGTATGGAGTTTATTTAAAGTGAAACATGTAAATTTACAAGAAGTTACCTGTACTGGTACAAAATAACACACAAAGGAGCAAAACCTGACACGTGTGGAGTTTATGGTGAAACATGA